TCTATACATAGAACAGTACACCCCCAACATGGTCGACCACTGGACACCATCAAAATACCAAGCTATGACACACTCTATACATAGAAACAGTACACCCCCAACATGGCCAACCACTGGACACCATCATAATACACTTCTATTACACGCTATACATAGACACACTACACCCCCAACATGGCCGACCACTGGACACCATCATAATACCAATCTATTACACTCTATACATAGAACACTACACCCCCAACATGGCCGACCACTGGACACACCATCATAATACCAATCCAATCTATTACACTCTATACATAGAACAGTACACCCCCAACATGGCCAACCACTGGACACCATCATAATACAATTCTATTACACTCTATACATAGAACACTACACCCCCAACATGGCCGACCACTGGACACCATCATAATACCAATCTATTACACTCTATACATAGAACACTACACCCCCAACATGGCCGACCACTGGACACCATCATAATACCAATCTATTACACTCTATACATAGAACACTACACCCCCAACATGGCCGACCACTGGACACCATCATAATACCAATCTATTACACTCTATACATAGAACTATCAGGACTATTTCCACGTCGTAGACTTACAACAATGCAATGTATCGGCACGTCACCTGGAGAAAATAATTGTTCATACCAGCGATCGACGAGTTGGATTTGCCTGACGTCAGCCGGCCCTGTTTGTAATTAATTCTTAAATGTCAGTTTCCTGGATCTGTTGCTAAATCTAAATAAACACGGCTTAATTTTCCCATCTGCGATTTTTTTTTTTCTGGTTTAAAAATATCCTCGGTCATTCGTGAACTTTTTTCTCACTGCGGAGAGTAGCTGGCTTTTGTTACGCGCTGTCAAACTCGTTTCTGTGTCACCAAAACAAAACAGGAAATCGCAGCATCAGGGGGAATGAAGGACAAACTTCAGACACTCGGCATGTGAAAGTGGTCAGAGAAGTTCTGCAGCTGCGCTAAAGTCAGAAAGTCCTATCAATTTACCAATCTGCTCTTTATGACTCCACCGCATTTCATCCAAATGGACCCTGGTGTTTGAAAATTTACTGATTTCGTTTTTTTGATGGATCACAAGGGGACACTAGGAATCTTCTCCATTGGCAACTTCCGCCAAGTTTCAACCACTTTCGATGAAGCTGGAATCAAACTCCAGAGAGATCGAATGTGGAAGTGTCACCAATGGGGACTGTCATGTATGGTTGGGATTGTGGACCCTCCATGCAGATTGCTCGATGGATGACTGTGTGCTTGGAGAACTACATCTGACCTGGCACATGAAGGTACATTGATGAGGATCTTGGAAACCGCACAGTATACAGGACTCAAAGGACTGACAGGAGTCCAATGCAGTAATGAGATGTTGGTCCTACAGACAGGACACAGATTACTGATAGGAAACACTTACAGCACTGGGGTGCAGGGCTCCCTGGGATGCTGAGTGTACAGGAACACAGAGGTAACTATGAGGAATACCAAGGTGCACAGGCATCCCAGAGTAGCAATGCACCAAATTCATCAGGAAACTCTAGCAACAGGTAGAGGTGCTCGGGGACACCGAGCAGGAACGACTAGAAGTACCCTGTGAGAAGCTGACGCACACTGCGGACAAAAGTGACGATGACAAATAGCAGACAGAAATTCACAGGGAATCACAGAGAGGCTGGAATGATGAAAGCTGGAAAAGGTGCACAGGAAAACGGAGACCCAAGAATACTGGAGCGTTCAACGGACACAACGGGTGCAAGGACATACTGTAGGTAGTAAGCAGGATCACACCAGGAGTCACTAGGGACAGGCTGAAATACACTGGGGACACTGGAGGTACAGAGATCACACTGTAAGGCACATGGAGATGCTTGCAAGCAGACACTAGGAACAAGGGGGGTCCAGCTACAAGATCACTATGAATATTGTGGTCGCTCGGAGTCTGTTAGAACATAGAACATTAGGAGTACAGGGGACACTTGTAATCTTCTCAGGAAGCCATGGACACAAGGAAGCACTGGGGATACATTAAGAATGTTCTCAATTGGAAATCACGAGGACATTAAGAACCTTCTCCATTAGAAATCATTGGGAATACTAGGAACCTTCTCCACTGGAAATTAGGGGGGGGCCTAGGAACCTTTTCCACTGGAAATCACAAGGGACACTAGAAACATTCTCCACTGGAAATCATGGGGGTGGGTGGGCACTAGGAATCTTCTTCACTAGAAATCACAAGGGGATACAAAGAAACTTCTCCACTGGAAATCATTAGGGAGACTAGAAAGTTTCTCTACTGGAAATCACAGGGTACCCTAGGAATCTTCTCCACTGGAAATCACAAGGGACACCAGGAATCTTCTCCACTGGAAATCATGGGGTACACTAGGAACCTTATCCGCTGGAAATTACAGGGGACACTAGGAACCTTCTCCACTGGAAATCACAAGGGACACTAGAAACCTTTACCCACTGGGAATCGTGGGGTGGGGCACTAGGAACCTTCCCCACTGGAAATCACAGGGGACACTAGGAACCTTCTCCACTGGAAATCACAGAGGATTCTAGAAACCTTCTACACGGGAAATCAAAGTGGACATTAGGAACCTTCTCCACTGGAAATCATGGGGGACACTAGGATTCATCTCCACTTGAAATCACAGGGAACACTAGGAACTTTCTCCACTTAAAATCATAGGGGACACTAGGAACCACTGCCACTGGAAATCACAAGGTGTGAAACTAGGAACCTTCGCCACTGGAAATCACAGAGGACGCTAGAAAACCGTCTCCACTGGAAATCACAAGGGGACACTAGGAATCTTCTCCACTGGAAATCACGGGGGACACTAGGAACCTCCTCCACTGGAAATCACAGTGGACATTAGGAACCTTCTCCACTAGAAATCATGGGGGACACTAGGAACTTTCTCCACTTGAAATCACAGGGGACACTGGGCACCTTCTCCACTGGAAATCACAAGGTCACACTAGGAACCTGCTTCACTGGAAATCACCGGGGACACAAGGAATTTTCTCCACTGGAATTCATGAGGAACACTAAAAACATTCTCCACTGGAAATCCCAAGGGACACTAGGAACTTTCTCCACTTAAAATCACAAAAGAACACTAGGAATCTTCTCCCCTGGAAATTATGGGGGACACTAGGAACCTTCTCCACCTGGAATCATGGGGGACACTTTGAGCTTTCTCCTCTAGAAATTACAGGGGATACTATAAACCTTCTCTACTGGAAATCATGAGGGGGAAGGGGCACTAGGAATCTTCTCCACTGGAAAATTACAAGGAACACTAGGAACCTTCTCCACTGGAAACAATAGGGGACACTAGGAATCTTTTCCACTGGAAATCATGGGGGTCACTAGGAAGTTTCTGTACTAAAAATTACAGGAAACACTAGGAACCTTCTCCACTGGAAATCATGGGGGACACTAGGAACCTTCTCCACTGGAAATCATGGGGGACACAAGGAACCTTCTCCACTGGAAATCACAAGGGGACACTAGGAACCTTCTCCACTAATTATCATGGAAGACACCAGGAAGTTCTTCTACTGCAAATCACAGGGAACACTAGGAACCTTCTCCACTTGAAATCAACAGGGACACAAGGAATCTTCTCCACCTGAAATCACGGGGGACACTTTGAGCCTTCTCCTCTAGAAATCTCAGGGGATACTATAAGCCTTCTCCACTGGAAATCATGGGGGGGGAGGGGTCACTAGGAATCTTCTCCACTGGAAAATACAAGGTGACACTAGGAATCTTCCCCACTTGAAATTATAGCGGTCACTAGGAACCTTCTCCACTGGAATCACAGGGGACACTAGGAATTTTCTGCACTGGAAATCACAAAGGGACACTAGGAACCTTCTGCACTGGAAATCACAGGGGACACTAGGAATCTTCTCCACTGGAAATCACGGGGGGCACTATGAATTTTCGTAACTGGAAACCACTAAGAACCTTCTTCACATGAAATCATGGGGGGGGGGGGGGGACTAGGAACCTTCTTCACATGAAATCGTGGGAGAGACATTAGGAAACTTCTCCACTGCAAATCATGGAGGGCACTAGGAACCTTCTCCACTAGAAATCAAAAACTTCTTTGAAGTTCATCAAAACAGAGGCAATTCAGGTCATCCCTAATAGCTCTTGAAGTTTCAATGTTAAAATAAACTTTATTGAAACTGTCAATTTATTGCACAGTTTCAACCTCATTTTGCTGTTCAACTGAACATGTGAGTGGCAGATTGCCTATGGCGGTCATGTGTGCAATTCTCGGTGCATGGAAAAAAGATTCATACTAACTTAACATGGCCATGGTCGCTCCCCCAACAACTGGTGCTCTCCTCTATTTCCCTGAACTCCAACGGTGGACTGTTCCTTGAAGTCCTCATGCACAATGCAGGGCTAAGCGCTCTGGACCTGCATCAGAGGGCCTGCAACTGCCAGAGCATAGGGGAGAAGAGGCAATGGGGACTGGCCTATCAGTGTAGAGGAACAGGTATATAAAACCACTTTTTGTGGACCCTGAGACTTAAACGAACATTTAACCCTTGTAGTGAGGGGCAGAGCAAGGGAGGATTTTAGCCGTTCCCCAGAGTTCAGCTTTAAATATATTCCTCAGTAACTGCAAAAGCTATAAATTCAAATGCAATTACCAGCTCAGATATTACCTTGTAAAACAGTGTAAGAAGTAAAAAACGTTGGTTCTAACACTTCTCTGCTATATTCAAAACAACAACAAAAAAACATTTGGGCCTTAAAAATCAAGTTTTTCCCTTAAAGTGCCCATGTATATAACCAAGACTGTGTAATAACTTTGGTTTTATAATAATTATAGAATTACAATAACAACATAATAAACAACAATAATAACCAAAACTGATAACTCCTCCCCCTTCCCTTTCCCCACAATCCCTTTGGGATCCAGAAAGCTGACTTACCTTTTTATTGCTTTGTAGCAGAGAATAACCACTATAAAGAGGACTACAGCCGCGAGGAGGACGATGAGCAGGAAATGCCACCACGTCTCCTCTACGCAGCATGCCGGGATTTTAACTGCAAAAACAAAAATTGACCAATCAGTAAGAGGGCTTTGAGCTTCCCCACTCTCAAGGAATCAGCAGCTAGCCTGCATCAGTTAAGACCCCAGAAGATGACTGAGATCTGCATATCCAGCAGACACACAGATCACCCTGGGCTAAAATTATCCATCATTCATACTCTTTCTAAAACATATCTCTATCATTCCTGCAGCCATTGAGAACTTCTGTGAGAGCTGTGATTGGTCACAGCTTGTCACATGGTACAAAGCTGTTGTGAATAGCCCTGTATCATGTGATCTCTGTGATCATTCACAGATTTCACACGTAGTAAGCAATGATGTCAGAAGTGACGTCTTGCTTACTACTATTCATGTGATCACTGACTGACCAATCAGGGATCACATGATCGGGACCTCACACATGGGTCCCGTACAGCGATCGGTGTTCCGTTGTGTCCCAGGGAGCACGCACAGGCAGTGAATGCGGGGAGGACGATTATAAACGGCACTGCTCCTGTCCGGCTGTTTATATACATGGGCCGGACAGGAAGTGGTTAACAGACAACCGGGCAGGGCTGACACCATTCCTTGCACACAGTGACATCCTGCTTACTACTATTCATGTGATCACTGATTGGCCAATCAGTGATCACATGAATCACACAGAGGTCCCGTACAACAATCGATGTTCTGCTGTGTCCAAAAGACACAGAGGGTACCGGATCGCAGTGCTGCGCTCTCCCGGGGAGTGCGCACAGGCAGTTTATAAACGGCAACCCGCTTCAGCAGTGCTCCCGCCTGGCCAATCATGTACATGGGCCAGACGGTAAGTGGTTACAAAAACATCCAAACACAAACGCTTATAAAGGCCGTTATCCGCGTTTACACAAGTTTACAAGCGTTTGAAACACTGATAAAATCTCCTGAACGCAAGTTTGGTGCATTCAAAAAATCGACTGTATACTCAACTGCCGGTGAAGGACTGTAAAGGACGATGTGTACACGGACAGGAGAACGTTAGGGAGAGTTCAGGGGCTGCTTAACAAAATGCAGAAAAGCTCCTAAATGTGCGTTTATCGGGTGCAGTGTGCATGGAGCCTCAGGACGAGTTTGCTTTAACCACTTCCCGTCTGGCCATTGTATATAAACGGCCTCCCCGCCGCCCCCTACTTGTGTGTGCTCCCTGGGAGCAAGCAGCACCACGATCCAGTGCCCGCTGCATCCTCCAGACACAGTGGAACACCGATCGTCGGACGGGACCTCTGTGTGAGGTCCCATCATGTGATCATTGATTGGCCAATCAGTGATCACATGAAGAGTAGTAAGCAAGATGTCACTTCTGACATCATTGCTTACTACATGTGAAATCTGTGAATGAGCACAGAGGTCACATGGTACAGGGCTATTCACAAAAGGCCTTGTACCATGTGACAAGCTGTGACCAATCACAGCTCTCACGGTATTTCTCAATGGCTGCAAGAATGCAGTCAGAGAGAAGGAGAAATGATTGCTTTTACAGCCTTTATGGGTATAAAAGTAATCAGTGTAAAAAAAAAATCTTCATCACCCCCCACAAGAAGTACAGTGTCACCATGGTGACACTACTGCTAGGGTGACGGTATGTAAAAAAACCAAAAAAAAAAAACTAATAATAATATATAAAAAAAAAAAAATTTAAAAAACAAATTTGAAAAATTATAATTTTTGGTTATAAACTAATTTGGGTTATTTTTTTTTTTTTTACTAAAAAGATAACGGAATACATTTTGGCCAAGATTTATGAAGAAATATTATTTATTTGCAAAATTTTATAAGAAAAACACTTTTTTTTTTCAAAATTTTTGGACATTTTCATTTACATAGCAAAAAAAATTAAAATCCCAGAGGTGAATAAATACCACCAAAATAAAGCTTTATCTGTCTCAAAAAAAAATGCTAAAAAAATTCATATGGGTACAGTGTTGCATGACCGCGCAATTGTCATTCAAAGCGTGATAGCGCTGAAAGCTGAAAATTGGCCTGGACTGGAAGGGGGGGAAAGTGTCCGGACTGGAAGGGGGGGGGGGAAAGGTGTCCGGACTGAAAGGGGGGGGGAAAGTGTCCGGACTGGAAGGGGGTGAAAGTGTCCGGACTGGAAGGGGGGGGGAAAGTGTCTGGACTGGAAGGGGGTGAAAGTGTCCGGACTGGAAGGGGGGGAAAGTGTCCGGACTGGAAGGGGGGGAAAGTGTCCGGACTGGAAGGGGGTGAAAGTGTCCGGACTGGAAGGGGGGTGAAAGTGTCTGGACTGGAAGGGGGGAAAGTGTCCGGACTGGAAGGGGGGGAAAGTGTCCGGACAGGAAGGGGGGGAAAGTGTCCGAACTGGAAGGGGGTGAAAGTGTCCGGACTGGAAGGGGGTGAAAGTGTCCGAACTGGAAGGGGGTGAAAGTGTCCGGACTGGAAGGGGGTGAAAGTGTCCGGACTGGAAGGGGGGGAAAGTGTCCGGACTGGAAGGGGGGGGAAAGTGTCCGGACAGGAAGCGGGGGGAAAGTGTCCGGACTGGAAGGGGGGGAAAGTGTCCGGACTGGAAGGGGGGGGGGGGGGGGAGTGTCTGGACTGGAAGGGGGTGTGAAAGTGTCCGAACTGGAAGGGGGTGAAAGTGTCCGGACTGGAAGGGGGGGGGAAAGTGTCTGGACTGGAAAGGGGGTGAAAGTGTCCGGACTGGAAGGGGGGGAAAGTGTCCGGACTGGAAGGGGGGGGGAAAGTGTCTGGACTGGAAGGGGGTGAAAGTGTCCGGACTGGAAAGGGGGGAAAGTGTCCAGACTGGAAGGGGGTGAAAGTGTTCGGACTGGAAGGGGGTGAAAGTGTCCGGACTGGAAGGGGGGGAAAGTGTCCGGACTGGAAGGGGGGAAAGTGTCCGGACTGGAAGGGGGGGAAAGTGTCCGGACTGGAAGGGGGGGGAAAGTGTCCGGACTGGAAGGGGGTGAAAGTGTTCGGACTGGAAGGGGGGAAAGTGTCCGGACTGGAAGGGGGGGGAAGTGTCCGGACTGGAAGGGGGGGGAAAGTGTCTGGACTGGAAGGGGGGGGAAAGTGTCCGGACTGGAAGGGGGTAAAAGTGTCCGGACTGGAAGGGGGGGGAAAGTGTCCGGACTGGAAGGGGGGGAAAGTGTCCGGACTGGAAGGGGGGGGAAGTGTCCGGACTGGAAGGGGGGGGAAAGTGTCCGGACTGGAAGGGGGGAAAGTGTCCGGACTGGAAGGGGTGAAAGTGTCCGGACTGGAAGGGGGGGGGGGGAAAGTGTCCGGACTGGAAGGGGGGGGGAAAGTGTCCGGACTGGAAGGGGGGGAAGTGTCCGGACTGGAAGGGGGGGAAGTGTCCGGACTGGAAGGGGTTAAATGGAGTTTCTCGTTCTCCTGTAACTGGTTCTCTTCCCTCTGAACATTCTTTCTTGTAATGAAGTGAATTCCCTTTTTCTCTGCATCCCTCGGAGTTCGGTTATTACACAATTGGAGACGTTATCTGCTGGTCCCGTGTGTGGGGCGGGTTATCTTCAGTCGGTCTCATTCTTGCTATAGTTACAGGTGTGTAAACTCTCACAGACCTCTCATGAATCACGGACTTCGCAGGAACGGTTTATTGCTTTTACTACTTACAGATGTGCAATCTCTCTCAGACCTTCAACAACAATCTAGTTTAGTGCTGAGCGGGGATTTTTTTCAGCAGGAACGCAATTCTGACACCTCCAGCACTGAATGTATGCAATGGCAGGGGGTGTGTGGTGTGTGCTGGAGGGTCTATTGATGCTGTCTGCTGGGGGATCTATTGCTACTGGGGGGGTCTTATGTTGCTGTTAGGGATCTACTGTTGAGGGGGAGGTTGCTGGCTGCTGGAGGGTCTATTGATGCTGGCTTCTGAGAGATCTGTTGTTGCTGCATGTGAGGGGTCTAATGTTGTGTGAGGGATCTATTGTTGCTGGCGGTGGGGTCTATTGTTGCTGGGTGGGGTCTATTTTCGCTGCAGGGAAAACTATTGTTTCTGGAGTGGTAGTCTGTTTTTGCTGGGAGGAACTACTGTTGCTGGGGTGGGGTCTATTGTTGCTGGGGTATTCTATTGTGGTGTATGGGATCTATTGTTGCAGGAGGATCTATTGTTGTTGGCTGCAGGGGATCTTTTTTACTGCTTTTCTTGTTAACACATTCCATACAAAATATTTAGCACCACAATACTTGGTTTTGTATCGTCTCTGTAAGGGCACTACTGGAAGGTGGGCAGGGGGCTGAACCAAGGGCCGGTGCTCAGAGGGGGAAGAGACAATGGGGGACTGAGAAGGGGGGAGTTCCTGCACCTATTTTTTTATGGGAAAAAAAGCCCTGGTGCTGAGTAGTATTAAACCCAGTATGACCCTGGCCTGCACATGTATGAGCATTGGCCGCATGTGTGTGAGCGTTGAGTGTTTTATAGATGAACACATTGAGCACCATACATTCCCCAGTATTCTCAGTGCTGCTTCCCTTAACTTCCAGTCATCACAGGAAAGAGGTAAACAGTTGGACAGTACAGTTTGAAGTCAGTCTGTTAATTGGAAGGGGGAGGGAGGAGCAGGGGAGTGCCTTGCCATTCTAGTCTATAGGGCTGTGTGTTCCTATTGATGCACACAGTGCAGGGAGACACAACTCTGTTCCTTGGGTAGCACCCTCCTGGTTAGCTAGGGGGAGCTCTAGGTTCAAATGCTAGATAGAGGCTGAGTAGCAGCCGGGGTGGAATAGTCAGAAGGTCACATTTTGATCAGAGTCCAGTCCTTGTGCGTTTGATTTGTTATTCAGTTGAGGGGATTAGAACTTGGATGGGGTAAGGGGGGTACAGGACACCCAAAGGAACTGAAATCTGAGGACAACTTCCTAAACTATTCAAAGCTTCTGTTCTCTGACATCATCACTGATGGAGTGCTAGCCAGCAGCTCCAGTTGTACCACCCCAGACCCTAGATGAACTGTTCTTCACCCAGCAATTCGGAGACTTTTCCTGAGCAGGGGATCTGGCTCCTGTTCCTTTAAATGGGTAACAGTCACTAGTAGGTGTGTAACGGAACCGGACCCCGACTGCACTTGGGTATTTCCGTTAGACTCCCCCTTCCCCGTCCGAACACAGATCCACGGACACCACCGCTAGCCATACAAGACGAGACAGCACCAGACTTGTATTAAAACAGGAAATAGACTGCTTTATTTTAAGATAGATACAAGATATATACACAGGGCGGGGAAATACACCCAGTAACAGGAAACACATCAGCAGGCTGTCCCATCAGGGGGAAGGGCTGCCGAAAACACCCCCCACCAAGCCAGTACAAACACATACATCCCATAATAGTTTGCTCCCAAGCAAGACACACAATAGAACAATGGGATGCACCACATGGCAGTGAACAATGGACAACCCCCACACCAATACACAAACACATATATCCCATAATAGTTTGCTCCCAAGCAAGACACACAATAGAACAATGGGACCACTTGGCAGTAAACAATGAACAACCCCCCACACCCCACCTATACATGTCTACTTAATAGCAAGACATTTCACCCTGTACCCCTAACAGACATAAGGTGACTTACACATAATAGGGATATGGGGAGCTGAGACAAGGGTCTCCCCACCTTTCCAAAGGGGGCTGTGTTCCATGGGCACCCCCACCCAACGTGACTCCCGTCACTAGTAGGTGAGTGCAAGTGTACTCTCTCAGATCCTCTCCCGTACCGCTTGCAGGATGGCTGCCGCTATTAGGCTTATCAGCTGCCATACAGGTGGTCCTCTCTCAGGGGGCCAGTGAGTCCAGAGTTTTCCTCCTTTCCAGCTCCAGGCTGGCAGGCAGGCAGGCCCCATCTCACTAGGCCCTCTTGGCAGCCTTCTACCTCCAACCTCACATCTTCTTGCTCCACAATCCTCTCTTACCACCCGACTCGCCTCCTACTGAGCAGGCTCTTCCACTTCTAAGGGAGCCCCAACCCCTTGCCAAGCCTCCTGCTGGGGATTGGCTGACGTCCCTCAAGAGTGTAGCCAGCCACTCCTCAGATCCACCCATTGCCTCCAAGGCCCTCCTCCGAAAGCCTCAGAGCAGAGGGGCTGGCCTGCAGAGTCTCTCAGTCCTGACCAGAATTTGACCCCTCTGACTATCTCGCCTGAGCTGCTAATCAGCTCCTCTCTAGCTGTCAGGGTCTATCTCCCCCTAGCTGGAGGTGCTACACATATAGGAGGGTGCTACATATATAAATGCATTTTCTTACACTTTTTTTTTCAATGACCCCCGGTTCACATATCCGTGTTCCTGCGGTCCGCGTTCTGTGCGAGCACGAGAGCCCATTAATTTGAATGAACTCCCGTGCCCTGGGAAATGCAGGGAAGAAGTCCCTGCACTTCTCTTGAAAACGCAGCCCGCATGGGAACCTTAATTCTCAGTACGATTGCGATTTCCAGTGCGGGCCGCGTGCCATTAGAAATAATGGCGTCCGCAGCGGCATCACCCGCTCATATGTGAACCAAGCCTAAAAGGAAAGGGTAGGAGTGAGGGTGATATGTAGAAGCCGTGTGGTGGAGATGAGGGGTAATGTAAGGACAATTCCAGTGCGGGTGGAGTTCCATTAGAATTAATGGCACCCGCCCGCGGGTCCGCATTCCTGTGTGCGGCTGCATGGATTTTTGTGTGGATCCGCAGCGGCACCACCAACACAGATGTGAACCTACCCTGAAAGGTTTCGTTATCACAAGCGCCCTAACAGGCCCCCTTGTGATAGCTTTGAGCAGGTGACAGTTCCTCTTTATGTAGACATCGGGGGTCTAGTAGACCTCTGATGTCTCCCCTGCCCTCCACTGCAGCTAATCAAGTACAGATCATGCTTGACTAGCTACTTCCCTGGCTGTAACAGAAGACAAAATCCTCGTCACTCCCAGGATAATTCACCACAGCGGAGAAGGGGGACTGGATGTTCCTCCATGTGAGGTCAGCCCAGCAGTTTCACGTTTCCCCAACTCTCCCATTTCTCCTTTAAAAGCTTTGTGACAGTTTTGAGCAGGTGACAGTTCTTCTTTATGTAGACATCGGGGTCTAGTAGAGCTCTGATGTCTCCCCTGCCCTCCACTGCAGCTAACCAAGTACAGATCATGCTTGATTAGCTACTTCCCTGGCTGTAACAGAAGACAAAATCCTCGTCACTCCCAGGATAATCCACCACAGCGGAGAAGGGGGACTGGATGTTACGAGGTCAGGTCATGCGAGGTCAGCCCAGCGGTTTAACGTGTCCCTGACTCTCCCATTTCGCCTGTAAAAGCGATCGTTTTTGCAAAACAGCTGATCGCTGCCCAACAGAAACAGCAGCAAGATCATGGCTGCTGACAGGACGTTTATGCACTTGCATCTGTCAGCAGAATTATTCGCTGCCATTCGATTTCTCCTTTAAAAGCTTTGTGACAGCTTTGAGCAGGTGACAGTTCCTCTTTATGTAGACATTGGGGGTCTAGTAGACCTCTGATGTCTCCCCTGCAGCTAACCAAGCACAGATCGTACTTGATTAGCTACTTCCCTGGCTGTAACAGAAGACAAAATCCTCGTCACTCCCAGGATAATCCACCACATCGGAGAAGGGGGACTGGATGTTCCTCCATGCGAAGTCAGCCCAGCGGTTTAATGCGTCTCCAACTCTCCCATTTCACCTGTAAAAGCGATCGTTTTTGCAAAACAGCTGATCGCTGCCCAACAGAAACAGCAGCAAGATCATGGCTGCTGACAGGACGTTTATGCACTTGCATCGGTCAGCAGAATCGTTCGATGCCAGGTTATGACAAGGCGGGTAAAATAAACCCTCCCATTAAAATACAGCACATGAAAGTCACCAGTGAAAGGGACAAAGGCATTTTTTATTTTCCTTCTGTACTCGGTGGCAGGTGCATAAAAATTTATCGATAAGGAGGGGGGGGAAGCACTGTGACCTCTGTCACATCAACAGATTTATGACGCTCAGAATAGTTGCTGCATTACGGGAGATATCGATCTGGTGTTCTGGGCAAAGACAAATTTCATCGTGAGTTCCCCTTCAGAAAATCCCTTCCGCTGCACTGAATCTAATTATTATAAATCACACGGCCGCATGCAACAAGCACGCAGAGCGCGCGGCCTGAGCTGAGCCAGAACAGCAGAGACCCTCAGGATCAAGGAAACGACGAGAATGGTGCTCCCAGCCTCTCATGTCAAAATTGACACTTTCATAGTATTCCATAGTATTTGTGGACTTCCGCGTTTCCTTAGCTCCGCAACCGACAAAGAAAAATAATTATTGTTTTGCTAATAATTAAATTACAAGTGCTTATATGCTAATGGTAGCTTCTTTAAGTAATAATATCAGGTTCGCTTGTTAGAATGACTTTGCAGAAGATGTCTTGGAATATCTTGCTGTGGAACACAAAGACAGAGCATCTCTTTGATCTACAGCAGTGTTTCTCAACCTTTTTTCAGTCAAGGCAAGCTCTAAAATTATGGACAGTCTTGAGACACCTTCTAAAATTATGGACAGTCTTGAGACACCTTCTAAAGTTATGGACAATGTCAAGGCACCCTCTAAAATTATGAACAGTCTCAAGGCACCCTCTAAAATTATGGACAGTCTTAAGGCACCCTCTAAAATTATGGACAGCCTTGAGACACCCTCTAAAATTATGGACAGTCTTGAGACACCTTCTAAAGTTATGGACAATGTCAAGGCACCCTCTAAAATTATGAACAGTCTCAAGGCACCCTCTAAAATTATGGACAGTCTTGAGACACCCTCTAAAATTATGGACAGCCTTGAGACAACCTCTAAAATTATGGACAGTCTTAAGGCACCCTCTAAAATTATGGACAGCCTTGAGACACCCTCTAAAATTATGGGCAATGTCAAGGCACCCTCTAAAATTATGGACAGTTTCGAGACACCCTCTAAATTATGGACAGTCTTGAGACACCTTCTAAAATTATGGACAGTCTTGAGACACCTTCTAAAGTTATGGACAATGTCAAGGCACCCTCTAAAATTATGAACAGTCTCAAGGCACCCTCTAAAATTATGGACAGTCTTGAGACACCCTCTAAAATTATGGACAGCCTTGAGACAACCTCTAAAATTATGGACAGTCTTAAGGCACCCTCTAAAATTATGGACAGCCTTGAGACACCCTCTAAAATTATGGGCAATGTCAAGGCACCCTCTAAAATTATGGACAGTTTCGAGACACCCTCTAAATTATGGACAGTCTTGAGGCACCCTCTAAAATTATGGGCAATGTCAAGGCACCCACTAAAATTATGGGCAGTCTCGAGACACCCTCTAAATTATGGACAGTCCTGAGGGACCCTCTAAAATTATGGACAGTTTTGAGACACCTGCTAAAATTATTGACAGTCTTGAGGCACCCTCTAAAATTATAGGCAGTCTTGAGACACCCTATAACAGTGATGGCGAACCCGTGGCACGCGTGCCACAGCCGGCACGCCGAGACTTATCTGTGGGCACGCCAGGAGAATCCAGCGGCGCGCTGTCTTCCCGGCTGTAGTGTGCGTGACAGCCGGGTCCCAAGTGCGCATGCGCAAGAAGCAGTGCTCTTTGTGAATGGTAAGGCGGTACCTGGGACACATGACAGATCCCAGAAGCCGCCGGACCAATCACAAAGCGCAGCGCTTCTCGCGCATGCGCACTGGGCATCCGACGAGCGCCCACACTACAGAAGCCGGGAAGACAGCGCGCGGCTGGATCGAGGAACAGGTAAGATAAAAAAAAACTCTGCGGAAGTAAGAGCGGGTACCTGTCAAATTCAGGTACCCGCTCCCCCTCCCTCCCCAAAGGTCAGCAGTCATCTCTGTACTGTCCGCAGTCTCTGGTCATCCCTGTGCTGTCCGCAGTCTCTGGTCATCCCTGTACTGTGTCCGCAGTCTCTGGTCATCCCTGTGCTGTCCTCAGTCTCTGGTCATCTCCTGTACTGTGTCCACAGTCTCTGGTCATCTCCTGTACTGTGTCCGCAGTCTCTGGTCATCCCTGTACTGTCCGCAGTCTCTGGTCATCCCTGTACTGTGTCTGCAGTCTCTGGTCATCCCTGTACTGTGTCCGCAGTCTCTGGTCATCCCTGTACTGTCCGCAGTCTCTGGTCATCCCTGTACTGTCCGCAGTCTCTGGTCATCCCTGTACTGTGTCCGCAGTCTCTGGTCATCCCTGTACTGTCCGCAGTCTCTGGTCATCTCCTGTACTGTTCGCAGTCTCTGGTCATCTCCTGTACTGTGTCCGCAGTCTCTGGTCATCTCCTGTACTGTGTCCGCAGTCTCTGGTCATCTCCTGTACTGTGTCCGCAGTCTCTGGTCATCTCCTGTACTGTGTCCGCAGTCTCTGGTCATCTCCTGTACTGTGTCCGCAGTCTCTGGTCATCTCCTGTACTGTCCGCAGTCTCTGGTCATCCCTGTACTGTGTCCGCAGTCTCTGGTCATCCCTGTACTGTGTCCGCAGTCTCTGGTCATCTCCTGTACTATGTCCGCAGTCTCTGGTCATCTCCTGTACTGTGTCCGCAGTCTCTGGTCATCCCTGTACTGTGTCCGCAGTCTCTGGTCATCCCTGTACTGTTAATTAGTTTGCACTACTGTACGAGTTGTTTTTTCTAAACCAAAAGCTCGATATTCAGGTTTCATTGCAGTGTTGGCACTTTGAAAGAAATAAGTTGGTTTTGGGTTGCAGTTTGGGCACTCGGGCTCACAAAGGTTCGCCATCACTGCCCTATAAAATTATGGACAATGTCAAGGCACCCTCTAAAACTATGGACAGTCAAATTATGGACAGTCTTGAGACACCCTCTAAAATTATGGACAGTCTTGAGACACCCTCTAAAATTATGGACAGTCTCCAGACACCCTCTAAAGTTATGGACAGTCTTGAGACACCCTCTAAAATTATGGACAGTCTCCAGACACCCTCTAAAATTATGGACAGTCTCCAGACACCCTCTAAAGTTATGGACAGTCTCGAGGTTCTATATAACGCAGCAACATCCACACATGTAGGACACCCAACGTTAGAAGTGATTTATTCTTCCAAAGCAAATACATTTTTGCACACCGGTACTGCCTAGTATTCAAGTGTTTCTCTTCCCCCTCAGTTTCTCTCTATCAATCAGCTAATGTGACCCCAGCACTGACGAAGAGGGGTGGAACAAAGATGATGCGCAGGCAAGCGACATCCTCCTTAGCAACGTATGATGTCATTGGTTCTCAGAATGTCGGTGGCTAGAAGGTTCTAATGAAAACCTCTGGCTTTGTGTAACTAAAAAGCAGGCTTGTTCCACCCGCTGGCTTGTATACAAATTTTTTGGCAATTTCTAGACATTTTGCAAAGGCACCCCTGAAGAAACCACAAGGTACCCTGGTTGAAAAAGGCTGCTCTACAGTAAGGAATTCTCGGAAGATGTCTCAAGGTCCGTCAACTAGATAAGGTATTCTGAGAAAGCAGAAATTAATATCTCTTGTAATTAATGATGTGTTGCTTGTGAAAATTCTTTTTTAATTTGAAAAATATTTATGGGTGGGAGGGTACTACATGGCAACTGTCCAAGAATTTTGGTTTTGATCAAGAGTTCAGATCTACGGAAACTGCTGCCATTTCCAGAAATCTCATTGTGTGCTAATTACCCTACTTTCTAATATCTACTCTTACTTTCTCTCCTAAGTAAACTTGAGCAGAACTTGATTTCCTTATTGCACTTGTGATCCTGTTGCTGGTGAGAACTTACCAGCCACAAGATCACTAAAATGTGCAGTGAAAACACTCACCTGCTTCCATGTGTCAGTTCCTCACTAGATAGGTGAGTGAGGGTTCCATAGCAATTATTACTGCTGTCTGTCTCTCCCTGGGGAAATTAACCCTGTCCTATTTTGTTCTGATGACCTTTGTCAATAGTGATGAACTAGGGTTAGGTCCAAACTCAAGTTCGTCTGCATCTCGAAGTTAGCCATCATTGCTAGGCCAATACACTGGAGGCAAGAGATTCCCCATTCTGCAACTGATTTACTCAATGGGCTGGGGATGGTTGTAGCACCAGTGACATAATATGAGCAGATAGCCATGACCCAATTATTATTGACCTAATATGAGCTTGTGACCATGATCCAATGATCATTGAACTAATATGAGCAGATGGCCATGACCCAATGATCAATGACCTAATGTGGACTCATGGCCATGATCCAATGATCATTGACCTAATATGGACACATGGCCATGACCCAATAATCATTGATCTAATATGGACACATGGCCATGACCCAATAATCATTGACGTAATATGGACACATGGCCATGGCCCAATAATCATTGACCTAATATGGACACATGGCCATGACCCAATAATCATTGACCTAATATGGATACATGGCCATGACCCAATAGTCATTGACCTAATGTGGACTCATTGCCATGACCCAATTATCAGTGACCTAATATGGGCACATGGCTATGGCCCAATGATCATTGACCTAATATGGACATATGGCCATGACCCAATAGTCATTGACCTAATATGGACACATGGCCATGACCCAATAATCATTGACCTAATATGGACACATGGCCATGACCCGATAGTCATTGACCTAATATGGACACATGGCCATGACCCGATAGTCATTGCCCTTATATGGACATATGGCCATGACCCAATAGTCATTGACCTAATATGGACACATGGCCATGACCCAATAATCATTGACCTAATATGGACACATGGCCATGACCCAATAGTCATTGACCTAATGTGGACTCATTGCCATGACCCAATTATCAGTGACCTAATATTGATGGCCCAATGATCATTGACCTAATATGGACATATGGCCATGACCCAATAGTCATTGACCTAATATGGACACATGGCCATGACCCAATAATCATTGACCTAATATGGACACATGGCCATGACCCGATAGTCATTGACCTAATATGGACACATGGCCATGACCCGATAGTCATTGACCTAATATGGATATATGGCCATGACCCTATAGTCATTGACCTAATATGGACACATGGCCATGACCCAATAATCATTGACCTAATATGGACACATGGCCATGACCCGATAGTCATTGACCTAATATGGACACATGGCCATGACCCAATTATCATTGACCTAATATGGGTACATGGCCATGGCCCAATGATCACTGACATAATCTGGACACATGGCCATGACCCAATAGTCATTGACGCAATATGGGCACATGGCCATGGCCCAATGATCACTGACATAATATGGACACATGGCCATGACCCAATAGTCATTGACCTAATATGGACACATGGCCATGACCCAATAGTCATTGACATAATATGGACACATGGCCATGACCCAATAGTCATTGACATAATATGGACACATGGCCATGACCCAATAGTCATTGATATAATATGGACACATGGCCATGACCCAATAGTCATTGATATAATATGGACACATGGCCATGACCCAATTATCATTGACCTAATATGGGCACATTGCCATAGCCCAATGATCACTGACATAATCTGGACACATGGCCATGACCCAATAATCATTGACCTAATATGGACACATGGCCATGACCCAATTATTAGTGACCTAATATGGGCACATGGCTATGGCCCAATGATCACTGACTAAAATATGGTCATGACCCGATAATCACTGACCTAATATGGACACATGGCCATGACCCAATAGTCATTGATATAATATGGACACATGGCCATGACCCAATAGTCATTGATATAATATGGACACATGGCCATGACCCAATAGTCATTGATATAATATGGACACATGGCCATGACCCAATTATCATTGATATAATATGGACACATGGCCATGACCCAATTATCATTGACCTGATATGGCACATGGCCATGGCCCAATGATCACTGACATAATCTGGACACATGGCCATGACCCAATAGTCATTGACCTAATATGGGCACATGGGCATGACCCAATGATCACTGACATAATATGAGCACATGGCCATGGCCCAATGATCACTGTATGTAAATATTAAAATGCCTTGATGGGTGGGTGTCAGTCTGCAGGATTGGGTATTTCTAGGTGGGCTTCATTTGCATACAGGCCACTCTAGGTGATGCTTGCATGTGATACTGAGCCTCCATGATTAAAAGAGCTGAAATCCAATGAATCTAAGGGGGGGGGGGAGTCAGGCACAGTCAGGTTGGGGAGGAAAGGGCTAGATGATGCTTTACTTAACTCATAGCAGCCTCTAATGCACATTGCGAGAAGCTCATGGTGTGCATTAAAGTCAGAGTAAGCAGTTTCAGTCCAGGAGAGGATCTGGTACAACTGTGCAAGACTGAAGGGGAGGCCGGAGTTCCGCTTTAAAACAGCCATGAGCTTTTTTTTTTTCACTACAAGTCCACTTTAATTTCCACAAGGTTATTGTGGTGTTTATTGTGCTTCGGATTTATCCACCCAATCCAATACCTGGGCCTCTATGCCCTATGAACACAACAGATAAAAGAAGCAATCTTCCTTGAAATGAAGTACAGACTTAGCCTGCGGGCAGGAGATAGCGTCTTCACTGACTTAATTACATCCATATCTTAAAGACAATCTCTTGTTACTATTTATTCGTTATCTCCTTTTATATTATCTATGGCTGTGTCATGCTGCCTTACAGAAAGTTTTGCTATTGTAAACTGTTTCAGAGATTCTGGGGCAAATCTAGAAACCTTCTTCCTCATACGCCGGACATTCGCCTCGGGTGTTCTCATCCAACTGCAAATGTTAAAGGGGATTATAAAGTTTACTTCCTCATCCCTGGACATCGGTTGTGGGTTGGTGGTGTGGCAGTCAGCCAATAGAAGCAAGAATGGAAAATTCTCTACTGGAACCAGCAGGAAAGTCTTTAATAGGGTCAGTTATTCACAAAAATACCAGTGAATGGATGGCAGTAGATCGTTGGCCTCTTAATAAATGCAGATGGTACATGGCGGCTCTGTCTGTTCACATTCAAGTGCTGCACCTCCGGGAGTATGTCAGGTTCAGTCGTCTTGTGGCCATTTTTAATGCCTTAAACCTGGACACACATGTGATCTGATTGTCCAATCTCCTTTAGATTTATTAACAGCTACTATATGTAGTGCAAGGTTCTGTGTTACGGCAATGGCGGGTGATGTGGTCTCACCAGGGGTCACACTGAGTCTAAGTAGCAGCTGGTCTTCACCAGAGCTTCTAAAAGGTATAGATGGGCCGGGAGCCCTAATGGCCCCTGTAGCTCTTTGCTGTGGATTGGTACCAGGTCACGGCCCTCAGGTTCACCCCACCAAGGGGTAAGCGAGGATAGGAAGGCTAAAGTATGAAGCCAGTACACTGCGGAATCAGCAAGAAAATAGCCAGGTCCAGACAGGGGTCTAGCCAGGCAGCAAACAAAAGAATAGTAAGGTCTAGGCAGGGGTTGAGGCATGTGGCTGTTAAAAGTGTATTCAGGTCCAGGCAAGGGTCAAGGCAGGCAGCAAACAAATGAGTAGTCAGTCTAGGCAGGAATCAAGGCAGGAGGTAATTAAAGGGTAATGGCATTCAGCAAGAGTGTAGTCAGGTCCAAACAAGAGGTTGAGGCAGGCAGCAAACAAGAGAGTAATAATGTCCAGGAATGGGTTGATTAAAAGAGTAGTGAGGTCCAGGAAGGGGTCAAGCCAGATGGCAATCATGAGAGTAGTCAGGTCCAGACGGAGGGCTGAGACAAGCATCAACCAAGAGAGTAGGGCTAAGCGACAAACAAAAGTAGTCAGGTCCAGACACAGGTCGAGACAAGCATCAAACAAGAGAGTAGAAAGATCCACACAGGGGTCACGCTAGTTGACAAAGAAAGAGTAGTCAGGTCCAGGCAGGGGTTATGGCAGGTAGCAATCAAGGAAGTAATCAGGTTCAAGCAGGGGTTGAGGAAGGCAGCAATTAAATAAGTAGTTGGGTTCAGGCATGGGTTGAGGCAGGTGGCAAACAAAGAGTAGTCAAGTCCAGGCAGGGCTCAAGGCAGGCAGCAATCAAGAGAGTAATCAGGTCCAGAAAGGGGTTGAGAC